AAAAAAGATATCAACAACCTTTATACAATATTTAATTAGCTTTGTCCAATGAGCATCAACGGCCAATTTGGTACCAACTGGACCTTCAGGATGTGATGTCACTGATGTGATTTTCATCTGTTCCTGCAGGGGGCGCTGGAGTCCCATCGATGGCGTCCCCCGTCTGTTCCTGCAGGGGGCGCTGGAGTCCCATCGATGGCGTCCCCCGTCTGTTCCTGCAGGGGGCGCTGGAGTCCCATCGATGGCGTCCCCCGTCTGTTCCTGCAGGGGGCGCTGGAGTCCCATCGATGGCGCCCCCCGTCTGTCCCTGCAGGGGGCGCTGGAGTCCCATCGATGGCGTCCCCCGTCTGTTCCTGCAGGGGGCGCTGGAGTCCCATCGATGGCGTCCCCCGTCTGTCCCTGCAGGGGGCGCTGGAGTCCCATCGATGGCGGTCTCCATGCTGGAAATGCTGTCTCAGTCTAACTTTCAGTCAACCTAACGACAGGCTGAGAGCTGGAGCTGAGGCGGGTTTTAAACCTCCTGACAAACCGTTACACCGCGCCCACCTGTCAATCAGGTCAGCTGCACGCCTTATTGTGAATAACTCTTATCCTTCATCAAATCAAAACTGATGAGTCATCAAAACATTCACCCCCCGTACAGTGTGTGTCCATCGAGACATGAACTAATCACACGTATTTGGTTTTTTGAACCAGGCTGTAAACATGTTCATCTCTGCTGTAAAAACAGGCTTTTTAGAATGGGTGTGTATGTGACTTCCTGTGCTTCTGCAGCCAGCCTCTAGTGGACATGAGGGAAATGACAAATAAACAGACTTTTAGTGATGGAAGCAGAGAAAAGACAAACACATGCTCTGGTTTCTGTTGTCTTTATTAGTGGAATGGAATATACACCTCTGTGCTTTAATGCTGTTTTCTCCTCACTCGTCGCCACACGGTGCTCTGCGAGACTTCACATCATCACGTGTGTCCGTTCACTGGACGATAAACTTCTGAAGTGCTGCTCATCATCTTTAAAGTTTACATTAATGTGCTTCATCTGACAAATAAATCAAAGAAATAAACGACTTTTAAAAAGACAGTTTGAGCAACTTAAAAACAAAAAGTCACACGTTAAAAATCATTCCGTTATAAACTCCTGCTTTATGACAGCTGCTGACTCCTGGGGTTGTTTTTTTCTGGTTACAAAGCAGTGGTTCGGGCGCCTTAAAGAGGTCCCAAAATGATGATCAGCAAGACAGAAATGTAGACAGAAACGTGCAACAAATTTGTTAATTTTCTTCCCATCAGGCTCTTAAGTCGTATTTTGTCCACTGATGATCAAACTGTGGATCTCTGCTCTCAATGACGGGAAACCTGCAGCACGAGGACCAGAACCGGCTGAAAGCAAAACAAAGTGGTCAAACTGACAATTTACATAACATGTGGATCGAGTTAATTTTGTCTTAAATCTCCGTCTGCGATACATGGGAAACAGAAAAACAGGATCGTAATCCACAGAATACATTTTAGAGTCACAAATATCTTTAAACATGTTTAAAAATCACGACACGTTTGATTCAATACTCTGAATAATAGTTAAATGATCTCAGTGTCATTCTCATAGTTTGTAATTGATTTGATTTCAAGCAGCTCATCCCCAAACAAATAATTCATCACATGATGTAAAGATTATAAATTATCATTTTAAGTATCGAACTCGTCAATCAAAAGTAACAAATATTGACTTCATGGCTTCAAAATAAAAGAAACAGATAATTTTCTGTTCGGAAAAAAAAAAAAATGGTAAAAAAAATACTTCATGAGGGTTAAAAAATGTGATCAATAAAGGTGGAGATCATTATTTGTTGCAGTCCAACTTTGGAATAATCTTCTCTGAATGTTTTTCTCTTTCTTGATCAAAAACACGTCGACAGAAAAGTTCAGCAGAGTCTCGGCTCCCAGCTTACATCTACAAATGCCAAACATCACAGATTCAGAGCCAATCAGACACTTAAAAAATCTCCTTTCAGCTCCTTTTGGATCATGAACAATTCAGTACTAAAGAAAATAATAATTAAAATACTGAATCCAGGGACACCAACAAAAGAAACAACTTCTGGATGATTTAGGAAACACATAGAAGTTTCTGTATGGAAGGCCAAGCGGGCCAAATTTATCTTTAATGTATGGAAGGCCAAACGGGACATATATTTATCACGTCATGAACAACGTGCAATTTTTAAGTGTCTTTATGACTGTAGAGGTAATTTAAACAATAACAAGGGCTCGGATTTTTACTATTCATAAGTTCCTCGTATGACCCCCCCACACACACAAACCCAAATGATCCCTTTAAGAGAGGCATTTAGATCGGCTCAACAACGTGAAGGGGAGTCGATGTAAACTGGGAGCCAACAAAGTGAAAACATAAAGATATGAAGACATCTGAACATATTTTAGAGATAAAACATTGAAATGAAATAAGATTAAAAACACAGCAGCTCATCCAGTGAACAGACTTCAGTCTCTTCCTCAGGCGTCTCTCATCACTGCAGGAGAAAACAGATAAAATACCTATAACGGTATCCATGCATATTTGTGACTGCTCATCATACAAACACACACACACACATTCATGACCACACACCAACACCCGCCCGCCCGCCCACACACACACACACACACACACACACACACACACACACACACACACACACATACACACACACACACTCTCTCTCTTTGCATTCTGGCGAGGAACATGCCTGAATGATTTTATTTGATATAATCCGTTTTATTTCTCTGTAGTCTAACGTACACGTCTTGGTGGTGCAAACACTCGTCTTGAAAAGTTTCGGGTCGGGTGGGGTCAGGAGTCGGGTGGGGGAGGGGATGAGGAAAACAAAGCGATGACTGATAGGAGAGGATAAAAAAACAGAGAGCCGTCATGCAAAAGAACGGATGATGAGACTTTTTTTTCCCGTTGTGTCGTGTTCTTCTATCTTTTTTTCTCTGATATGGTTTCGGATAAATTCCTATGATCAGTAGTGCTACTTCTACTGTACGAGGCTCATGCACGGAGGAACGCCTCTCAGACTTTCATCGCTAACTTTTTTTCTTTTTATTCCTTTTTTTTTTTTACTTTGAGGATTTGATTGGAAGATGCAGGTGAAAGTTTATGATACAAAATATGTTACAGTATGTACGTCTTCTCTTCTGTCCGTGTGTCACTCACTTACACCCGCTTCTGATTGGTTTGGAGAAATGCTTTGCTAAAAGGACTCACTCAGCTTAAGGCTCATGCGGCTAACGGCGTGCACTCTTAGGAAGGTCGTGTGTCGTTTGTAAATCCTGTTTTTTTTTTTTTTACACAGAGGTGAGGTCTCAGTTAAGGTACGAATCATTCCCAGCCTTGTTTCTTTTTCTTACCACTTTCTGTTTCACATTTTTTCCCAGATGTTGACCCATCAGGTGAACTTAAACATGAGCACCAGGGGAGATTAGGTTTAGATTTTTATACCACTCACTCACTCACAGGAATCAGACCTTGACTCGTCCTGAGCCAGGCTTTACAGTTTTACCTTGCTAACCAAGCTAGCTCTGACGACACCAAAACTTTCAAAATTCAGGGTTGCAAAACGGTGGTTCATAACCGTACGGGTGACATCACAGTGGCTACGTCCTCTGATTTTGTCGAGGTTGATGGCAACAAGTTGAGAAACCTACTTAGTCCAGTTTAAAAGATCACGTCGTCTTTTCATGTAAAAAAACTACAAACATGTTTCATACTGATCAAATGGGATCGCATCTTTTCCTTGGAGCAGAACTGACTCCTGATTAGCTAATCGAGCGTTCCACCTGAAGCTAACCATTACAGCTCCGATCAGCTTATGCAAAGCTATGCTAAGATAATGCCGGCCTTGCACCTAACGACATTTCAAGAGGTTTCATAGTCACAGGCTAATTTACAAAGTGGGAATACAATTAAGAGAGTATTTCTAGAGTCAGGGGGCGCTCCAGGATCTTGGTAGTTTTGTGTAAGGTGGTCTGCTTCTGGACTTGCTGTTACGACAAAATCACTTTGTGTTGGTCCGACTAGCCTCTTGTGCTCACGCCAATTTTAAAGAAGGGTCGTGGTTTGAACAAATATTTGTGTGCCTAAGAATAAAATGTTAATTCTTGCTCCTTTTTCCCCAGAGTGCACGCCATCGGGACAAACATGGTTTAATCTTTAGAGCTCTTGGCGCCGCATTTCTCCTCCATGTTTAAACCTACTGCAGAATACTTGTGTTCTCTCTCTCACTGAAAAGTTCACGTAACAAATAAATTCTTAGTTGCTTTACATTATGTTCCCTGCAATTATTACTGTAGCTTTATAACACACATTATTATTGTTAGTATTTAATATTCTCTTCATTTGTTGATGCTATTTTCCTGCTTGTTGTAATGTTGCATATTTTGAAAAGTAAAAGGCTTTTGTTCCCAGTCTGGGCGTCGCTGAGGAACACTTCTGAGCTACAGCCAGACCAGACCGGTCAATGTCAGACCTGATTAATCCAGTCCAGATTCCCTCAATAAACCCATTTCTTGTCTGCAGTTTCATTTAGAAGGTCCATCTTAGTTTAGTCCAGTTCAACTCTCTGACGCTAACATCAGCTCAGTGTCGTAGTGTGAACAGTTTTCAGGCTCAGCACAGATCAGTCTAACCCTGTTTAGTTTGAAGTGTTACTGTAAGAGTCGTGAGTTTCAGCAGCATCTTGATCATAGCTCTGTTCTGTCCAGTTTTTCCACTGGACTCGGATCAAAACTCCAGAGTTCTCACAGGATTTCCAGCTTTACTCAACACGTGACATAAAGTGGATTCAGCAGCCAAAAAGAGAGGCAAGCAAAGAAATTCGTATGTGATTTCAAACTCCATTAGACTCCAAAGACGCCTCGACTATAACTCTCAATCTCAAACAATATAGGTCCAATACCGAGCTCTACTGATTCAGGCTGTCACTCTGAAGAAAAAAAGGAACCAAATTTCTAATCCATACGCTTTGTTTTAGAGCCACGTTGGCCTGTTATTCATCACGTGCCCCACAACAAACAAAATCCAAACCATAGGTCTTTGGAGCTTCAGGGTTGTTTGGTTGTCTTTCCAACCGCTGAAGACTTGGTTGAAACCCGGCCGAGTCGAGACGATCCTGAACTCTCCACAGTCCTTCAGATTCATCGCCAAGCCCAACTAGTCACTGCCCTTTCAAATTAAGACCACCCAAATTCATGCACTGTTCACTCTTAAAGAATAAAACATTTCCTCTGGAAGCCCCCAAAATGGACCGAACTGAACCACCACGTGAGGCGGTTTGAATGTCCGCCTTTGTGAGCTTTGGCATCTCTCTTATTCCTGTTCCAATAAACCCTCCAGGGGTTTGTGCAATCACATCCAAAAAGATCAAAACTGTGCAGGGGGGAGGCTGTGCTGTGCGTCGGGGTCACAAATGCATGAAAGGGTCTTAAGACTTCAGGAGAACAGTTCAGGTTCCTTCTCTGAGTCGGTCAAGGTCTCAGTTTTTGTTGTCCATTTCAGTTCATTTCCACGTTACCCTGAAACTGAAAAGAGGAAGTGAAAGCAACCGGTGGTCCTCGAGGTATCCGTCTGCGTGGTCTTTGTCCCTGTAATCTTAGCTAGCAGTGCCCTGGGTTCTGAATCGGAGGTTCACAGGAAGTTCATGGGGGAGGTTGGCTGGTGGGTAGGAGGGGCAGGTGTGGAGATGGGAGGAAGTAGCGGGTGAGGTCGGCCGTTATAAGGAGGAGATTTTGACCGTGTCGTGGGTGTAGGCGGTGGCTCGGGTGTTGCGCAGGATGCCGGGGATGGGTGCGGGCGATGGGGGTAGGCTCTCATCTGGCGTGTTGGCGGGCGGCGTGGGGATGCTGATGATGGCTGCGGTGTAATCTTGTTCCCCGCAATTCAGCTTCAGGTTGCAAGTCTGGGCGTTCAGGCTGGAACGACTGAGGAGAGAAAACATGGAACAAACAGAGGTCGTTATTGTGAATGAGGAACAGGATGACCAGGAAACCAAGAAGAGAGAAACAGAACAAGGAACTCGTACGAAGAAAACACAGATTTTGAAATCTATCCCAACAATTGTGGAAGATTTCCAAAGTTCAAATTGAAGAATATAACTTATTTTACATTCTTCGTTCCAAATCTCACCTCACTGGCCATGCCCTTTTTGGGATTCTATGATTGGACAAACGGACACTTTGTTCGAGGTTAAACTGAGTTCCTGGTCATTTCTGAGTTTCTTCTTACTCCATATATTTTTTTCTAATTGTTTAAAGTTTTTATTTAGAAGAGAATCTATAATTTTTAGTTACCTAGAACAAGACATCAATATCTGTGCAATCAAATGTGATGTACCTCAGGGCTCTTTGCTCGGCCCACTGCTCCTTTAAATTTCATATAGCTCTTGGATAAGTTATTTTAGGAATATCAGTGAAGTGACCTTTTTACAGGTGCTTAGTTTTGGTCAAAAATGTTATCTCTGTTTACGTTTGTGGTGGTATACAGGTGGTTTTGACGTGCAGGGTGTCCAGCTCCTGGACGCTCCCCCGGCTGACGGACACCGTGGAGTTGGCCAGTCTCATGGCGGCTCTTCTTCTGGCCCGGCGTGGGCAGCAGCCGGTGGAGTTGTTCTGCGCCCCCTGCTGGCTGGACAGGGAGGTGCTGCGACTGGTCCTGAAGCCCACAGACTCTGTCATACACAGCTCGCTGTAGTTCATCTCGTTTGAGAACTCGTGATTCTGTGAGGACAAGAGAGAGGTCACAGGGATCCTGATAAACTGAGACACATCCTGCACCTCGATCGACCACGTTTTCTAGTTAACTGTTCACTTGAAAATAAATAAATACATAAAGGGATATTTAGAAAAATTCAGACATATATGTATTAAGGTTGTGTGAAGTTTAAAAAGGTATATTTATAATCTACTAGTGTTTAAAAATGTTAAATCAGATATAAATATAAGCTTCAGATGTGTGTGTGTATGTGTGTTTGTGTGTGAGTGTGTTGGTATTAAAGTGTCCCAGTGTGTGTTTTTAATCCTCACCGTCGTCTTCTCCAGGCAGTGCAGCAGGTGGTGGTGCTGATGCTCAAAGGCCGACCTGTTCTTTATACACAGAGCCGTGCTGTCACCGTCCCGGTCCTGAACACACAACACACACACATACACACAAAGGTTAGTGAGGGCTCATCAAACAAACAAAAGAAGTAATTTTAGGGCCTTTTTCTGAAAGCAGAATGCTGCAAATAAAGTTTATTGTTTGATGATTGTTTTAATTTAAACGGCAGCGTTTTTAGTCGATCGTGTGGATTGATGTGCACGGCGGTCGTCATCAAACGTTGTCGTCGTCTGACAACACAGATGAACAATAATTCCATTTTCAGTGGATTGTTGTGATTGGTGTAAACGTGGCCTTAAAGTTTGGTTTGTGGTGGATTTTGTTGGTGCACTCACGGGACCCCTCCTTTGTGACGGCGTAGAGCGCGCTGCACAATAAGAGATGCTTTCAGACAGTGTTGTAGTACTCGGAATCAGGCTTGGTCTCAATAGCACTTTATGAAGGTCTCGGTCTTCGGAATCCAAAGCATTTTTACTCGGTCTTGTCTCTGTCTCAGACTGGGCGGACTCCAGACTTCAAATCTAGACTGGTCGGGACCACGCCATTCCTGAGATTCGAAGGAAAACTTCTCTTTCTGAAATAACTAATAACTTCAATTCATTCAAAAATCTGATTTTAATCCCCTGGTTACGTCCGCAACCTTCCCGGTGTTACGGCCTAAGTGAGTGACACGCCCCCTGCACTCAAGATGATATGTATGGTCTTGGTCTCGACTCAGTCTCGGAGCACTCTGGTCTCGATTAGTGTGGTCTTGACTATGACACTAGCTTTCAGGTGCTGTAAATGTTTGTGAATTCAGCTCTTATCTGAGAGTGTAATAGGAGACAGATATTAAACGATGCATATCGTTTTGTGGACTTTAACTTTGTGATAAATCCTTCTTCATTTAAAACATTGCCAAAGCTTCCATTTCCTTTGATTTATTTTCAGACAGCTTAACTGAAGGCCGCTCGACATTAAATAATCTTTAAGTCTCTCTCATCTGATCCCCCTCCATCTCTTCCTCTTTTCCCCTCGTCCCTCCTTCCTTTCCCTTTGTCTCTGTCACTATTTCAACACATTACCAAACACAAAGCTTCCTCTTCCTCCTTTTATCTTTCCTCGTTCTTGTCATTCTCTTTCATTGCTCACCTCCTTTTTTCTCCATCCGCTAATTTTCTCCTCTCTCTCCTCCTGCTCTACCCTCGCTCCTCCTGCTCTTCTTCACACCCATTATGCACTCTTTAAATCCAGCAGTCATCCCTCTTTCTTTCTCAGTAGAAGGATTAGGACTCAACAGTATCTGCGTGTGTGTTAATGTGTGTGTGTGTGTGTGTGTGTGTGTGTGTGTGTGTGTGTGTGTGATCCAGCCACCTGAAGTCTAAAGCTATTTCTCTGATAAAACATTGAAACCTGGCGAGCATTTCATCCTCTGGCTGAATAAAAACACAAAGACGGAGGGTGGTGATGAATTAAAGTTCCTCAGACGTTTAGAGTTCACCTTCACGTTAACATCCTGGTTATTCTCTGGACTGTCAACCTGGTATACTCACTGAAGAGAAAAGAGGATCAGAGGTTCACCTGAAAACATCACTGATGGCTGTTTATTAAAGCAACTTATCATTTTTAATTTTCCCCACACGTTTGGCACAAAATATAGAATGATTTCCTCGGTTAGTCTCCACAGGAAAGACCTTATTTCTGTTTTGATTATCGTGAATAAAATGCAAGCTAGCAAGCAAAGTTTATATAAAACCTTCTTTTCAACTCCAACCTCGCGTCTCAAGTTGCTGTCAGACTGTAAACAAAGGACACACAGCAGACTGTAAAGATTACAGTTTGAAGTCTGAGTGACGTCACACGTCTGTTCCTGCGGGTTTTAAACCTCCTGACAAACCGTTACACCGCGCCCACCGGTCAATCAGGTCAGCTACACGCCTTATTGTGAATAACTCTTATCCTTCATCAAACATGTTTTCATCTGCTTGATTCACAACATTAAAACAGAAACAGTCTAATGAAGTATTCAGACTGAAAAGGTTTCTGCTGATCTGAATTCACTCTCTCTCCATCATTGACAGATTTAACTGGACTGTAATCCAGCCTTCTGCTCCATGGTGAGAAGCTATTGACTGTGTGTTTGTGTGTGTTTGTGTGTGTTTGTGTGTGTTTGTGAGTGTGTATGTGTGTGTGTCTCACCCCAAGTGATCGGTCTTCTTTGTACTGGAGGAAGGCGTTGACTGTTCCTTTCTTCGCCATGCGGATCCGAGCCATACGCACTTTCTATTGGACAGAAACACACAGGAAACTGCACCGTCAGCACAACATACACACACACCACACACACACACACACACACACACACACACACAGCCTCTCTCTCTCTCTCTTTACTCTTCACACACACACACACACACACACACACACACACACACACACACACACACACACACACACACACACACACACACACACACACACACACACACACACACACACACACACAGCCTCTCTCTCTCTCTCTTTACTCTTCACACACACACAACACCACACACACACACACACACACACACACACACACACACACACACACACACACAACTCTCACAGTGTACGGGATCATTCAGGTTAAAGTGAAGTCTCTCTAACATCGGCCCCTCCTCTCCCATGTTCTGCTGGATCAACATCTGATCATTGCAGAAAAAACAAACTCCATATGAAATGATGGGAATCGAACCTGCTGCGCTCTCATCTTGTCCGCTCTCTGGTTCTGGTGGTAGATCCGGCTGAAGTTGGAGACAATGACGGGTACAGGCAGGGCGATCACCAGCACGCCGCTGAGCGAGCAAATGGAACCAAAGATCTTCCCTGCGATGGTGTTGGGAACCATGTCACCATAT